GAACATTTTCAAGCTGAAGGTGATTGAACAACTGAATTTCTATTTTTAGAATGGGTTGCGCTGTATGCGACTATTTTAAAGTCTACATCATCAAACCCTCTACTCACCACCCCACAGCACTCTACAATTCTTGGCTTTGACTCGTTTTGTTCCATATATTTTCAGTTCACTATATTTTGAAATAATTGACCAACTTTTTTGATATTTAATTTATTAAATTAATATTTTCAAATATCAACTTTAAGGATGCTTATCGGAAACATTTTGAGCATATAAATAGAAAAAAATTTGGATGGGGGGTTTAAAAATGAAAGACATGCATGAAAATTTAGCACAGCAATGACGTCAATAGTTTCATCCCAGATTTTTATAGAACAACTATTTTCCGTTTAAAGGAACTTGATGATTTTCCATCCTTACTAATTAGATTTAAAGGAATAAAAAAAATTATTAATTATGTAAAACAATAGAAAAGTTCACTTTATGTAAGCTCTTGTAATTAACATTTTGCTCATCTCAATGCGATTTTCTAACGGAAATAAATCAACATGAGGTCTAAAAAAATGATTTTAAAAAGTCAGATAAGCTGAAAATAATTAATGTTTGTAGAAAAGCTTTTAGGGATAGACTTTTTAATTGTGATATTGAAGCTTCAGATCTATATGAATTTCATAATTTGAGTAATAAGGACATACGGATTATTAATCAAATAGTAACTTTCAAAAATGGGATTTTAGACTGCCTCGCATTGATTACAATTTATTCTGAATAGTTTGAAGAGAGCTTTAGACCTCTTGTCTCAATCATTTCCTTTCGAATGAACCTCCAATAGTAGATTATTCAATATATTAAGTAATAATGAGCTTTCCTTTCCTCTATCCCTAGCAAAAATTTACTATTATTTCCTAGTAATTTACTGTCCAGCACGCAAACCTGAGGAAGATATATAATTAATTGAAAGTCACATACAAATTTAAATCGAGCTTATAAAGGTGATTTCTGCGCGCTCTTGTAAAGTATATGGCAAATACCAAATTTAGAATAAAATTTTTTATGACGCAAAAAATTCTTTTTTGATGGTTTTTCGTAAGATTCGAACTTAAGCATATTTGATCAAACATTTTACATGGTAATTTGCTGTTAAATAGCAAGTGTAATTTATTAACAGTAAGTTGTTTTAATAATAACTAGTAAATTGCAAGTTGTAGAATAGACAGACTAGCAATTTGCTAGTTACTTTCGCTAGGATATTAATCATTATATCCTCAAAAATAAATTAAATTTCCACAGATCTAGGAATAGGATCTAGGATAGACAAATCTTTTTAAAAATAATTAGTTCAGAATGCGATTTCTTTCTATCCCTTCCCTCGCATATCAAGTATGCATTTATATGAGCATTATAACAAAATAAAATGTATTCCTTTTCCTTGAATTCAAAATATTCCCAAAGCTAATTTTATTTATGAAATTGATTACATGATTTCCATTGTTATTACTTAATGCAGCAGAATTTATATCAGAAATTTTTTTATTACTTAATATTTTACACGCAATAGGGATAAGAGTGTTTTCGACACACTCACAAAAATGTATGATGATATAAATATGATTTTGAAGAGTCCATGATCCAAATTTTGTATAATATGACAATCATGGATAATAATAGAAAAATATGAAATTTGATCTTAAAGGACACTTAAAGTATGTATACAAAGGTGTAGGCAACCAAATCATTCATAGAAATTAAAATTTCATTTTCTGAATGAGAGTTCAGTAGGTCGTTCAATCGAATATCTAAAGGTGTGCACCATAAAACCTTCATTTAATAATTCTGCAGCATTGTGACAATGCATCAAATTACATTATAAGGTCGTCGTTGTTTATATTGGTGCTTTTGAAGTTTAATGGAATTACTAGGCTTTTTATAAAATATTTTGATTTTAAAATACTTTTATTAGCTCATTTAGACTTAGTTCTGCTGAATATGTTTTCTATTTTAAGAAAACAGGAACGCTGGATTTCTAATAATTAAGTTAAGGTTTATTATTTCAATGTTTACTGCTTGATTTTTAAAATAAATCTAAAAACAACAATCAAAAGGGGCTTGACACTAAATTTTGGTCACTAAATGAAGCTTAATATTCAAAATCAATAAAACAGTTAAAATATTGTAAAATTCAATTCAATGATTGCTCATACTTTTAATCTTGTGGCTTCATATGTAGCAAAATGATGACGACATTGCGTTCTATATATTCTGAAAAATAAAAATATATAAACTGATTTTTGTGCATGTGGCTTGCTGTTCGTGTGTATGTGTACAAGCACAGCTGCATCGGAAAGTTATGGTACAAAATTTCGATGACGATTCCCTCATTCAAATGTTGGAAACAAATTTTCATTCCCTCTTATCATTTCTTCTAGTTCAAATATTCAGTTTTCTTTTGCAAGTGTGTGTGTGTGTGTGAGTATGTCTACATACTGTATACAGCTGTGTAGGTAAAACGAAATTTTCCTCTTCTCAACCGACTCTACAGTGGTTGTTGTATGTCTGTTTACATGCAAGTGGAAGAAAAATACGAAAAAAATTTCTATTTTTAGATCAACATATTTCTTGTTGTTGCTTTATTCTCCCATGAAAAAAAAAAAAAATTACACATAAAAAATACACACAGAATTTCTTTTTCTTTTCCTTTCATTTCTTTTCTATTTTTCTTGTGAAGGCTTTTTTTTTCAAGAAAATTTATACTTTTCTCGAGCTCTTTTTCTCCTTCAATAATATCGATTGACATTCGATAGTGATATGAAATAATGATGATTAATAGTAAAACATGATTCTGATGATGATGACTTTGTGAATTTTTCAATTTTTAATGAGCAAAAAATTGCAATTTAAGTTCGTTAATTATTTTACATTCAAAATTCTATCGATTTGTCCTTAGTTGTCATGTTTATTAGTCATATATCTCAACGGTCGTGCTCAAATTCAGATTTTTGAAAGATAAATGTGATTCGTTGTCAAAATGGTGACAAAAATAAATAATTTTTTTTATCAATGTCTTTAATCTGTTGGTAATGTAATTATTTATGGCATACTTAACAAAGTGACTAATCTTGTTATGTTTATTGAATTTTGATTGGGAAAATATGTTCATCTAAGTATTAATTCACTTAAGTTTAGAATACAGCTGAATCTTTATTTTTATTTCAAAAATCTTAATTTTTAGATATTATTGGCTTAATTTGATGACTTTTCGCGCCAAATTTTATAAAAACTTCATAAATCTTTAAATGCCAGCAATTCCAATCTTTACTCTAATCATCTATTGATCACTTAAAAATGACAACAATCTTTATCGTTGCATGTTTTGTATACAATGCCTACAACAACTAATTAAGAACACTCAATAAACATAATTTTATTTGCCACTTTATGACTAATTGTGATCACTATCCATAAATCATTAAGATTTCAAGAAGTTCAAGAGAAAATTGAAAGCATATTCACAAACACTTTACTATGTAGGAAGAGATTCATGTGGATGTATTCTAACTTAAAAAATATTTTTCTTTCAATATGCACACGAAATACTTAAGTTTTAGATTGAATGGATTAAATGTGTGATGGTATGTGATGAGCCTAATAAGTTTTCATACATAAAAAAATAATTTCAAGATGATTTAAAAGCAATTTGAGTGGGATATGCCTTATCATAAGAACTTTTTGAATTTTGATCTTTTATTTATAGGAATTAAATTTGCCACAACACTTGCTTACACTATGATATACGCTCTGAATAAAGTGTGAAAAACGGAAATATTTGTTGATGCAATATCTTCTTCTTTGAATTGTTGGTTTACGATGTATTTTTTGTACAATATAAACGTTTGGGTTCAGGGTTTTTAATAAAACAACTTTTGCTCAAGTTTTTTTGGCATTTTGAAGCTTTAACATTTGGAATTAAGCTTAGAACTGTCAAAAAATTATCCAATTTTCAAATGATTTTCAGAATCTTGATATTCATGATCTTTGTTTAAATAGGTTTAATTCCATAGTTCTTATAAGTCACCGAAAGCTTAAAGATTAAAACTTATAACCAGCAATAATTAGATGTGCGTTCATTTGCTTTTTGAGTTTCAGCAAAACATAAATTTTCTTAGAAATTGACAAAATAGAAAATAGCAAATTATGTTTAGTAAGATGAAGCTGGTGTAACTCCCACAAAGATCATAAAACTTTCTCAACTCTATATAAATCTGACAAAGAAAATCATAAGTCTACTGATCTAAATAATGATGCAGTTTAACTTAAAATAAAGATTTTCCAACTTGTTAAAAACAAAAATTCCAATGTGAGAAAAAGAAGAAAAGTTATTCGTGATGAAAATTTCAATTCCTACACACAAAAGTGATCTCTCAATATTCTATTTTTCCACAGAAATTAAGGCAAGTCAAAATGTCTTCGACCAGCAATCGACCCACTTGAATGAAATTTCTTTGTGAATATTTTCTGATAAATATTCTTTCAATAAATACAAATTTTCATTTTTATCATAAATTTCATGCAGCAAATAGCCATTTTTCTTGACTTGACTATTTATCTTTTGTGTGTGGCAAGCACAATTCATTGAAAGCATTTTTAAAGAAATGCCGAAAAGAAGACGACGATCAGGGTTATCAGATTGAAGCAATTTTCATCATCTCGATCGGTCTTTATTGTTAATTATGATCACTGCAGATTTCTGTTGTATGAATGAAAGAACCACCAGTCAGCCAACCAGCCAGTCAGTCAGTCATTAGAGTTTTTTTTCTGTATTGTGTGCGACGAACACGAAATAAAAAAAAAGAAAAATTCCCTCCCCGTCGATATTTTTAGTATCATCAAAGTCCAATTTTAGATCAACACACTACATCGCTAGAGATTATATAGTGCCCTGTTATTTCTCATCGGCTCTTTTTTGCGTTTGCAAGTGTTGGCTGCAAAGAAAAAGAAATTATTTTTTCCTCCTTTCTGCCTTACAATAATTTTTACTACATCAACTGCCTCTGGCGACGATCATTGCCGATTGTTTCGTAGATACGGCTACATCTCGCGCACCGAACAAGCACTTTTGCTCATCGACATTTCAGTCAGCCGTTATTCGTCGGATTGATCAGTGTCTTTGGTCCGATCTTATAACTTAGAAAGAAAAGCATTCTATTTTCCTTAGTGTTTCTTTTGAGGTGAGTCTTGGTCACCTGAGCTCAGGAGAGAAAAAAATAAGAATAATTCAAAAAAAAAAGGAATTTGGAAAAATGAATCCAGAACAATAATTATTTCAATTGCTCAAATAAATATTCATTCCAGTAAATGAAAGACAATAAAAGTGAAGTGAATTAAGTAAATAATAATTTCAAAAGAAGAAGAAAAACAAGTTCCAATTTTTAAAAATGAAAAAGATTATTTGAAAAAAATTAAAATAAAAAAAATTTTGTGCTAAAAATAAATTCACATAGAGTGATCAAGTTACGCAATTTTCTTCACATTCATTATAAACAGAGGTGGATGAAGTGAAAAGAAAAATAAAATGAGAGAGAGAGAGAGAGATAAAGAGAGAAAAACAATGATGATGATGATTCATCATCAATATATGTGTGTGATTAATTGATTGTTGAAGACAAATGGGATACAAATGATTGACAAAAGGACCCAACAAACAGTGAATAAGTTTGAAAAAAGATTTTATTTTTACCTCAAAAAAATTTCTTTTCTTCCTACTACACTAAATACATCATCATCATCATCATCATCATCAGTATGTGCCTCCGCCAACATGAAGTTAAATGAAATGAAAAAAATTTCACAGCTTTTTCTTCAACTTGAGACTGTTAATTTTAGATTTTCATTTGTAGATCATACAAAAGAGAACGTGTGTGTTGAGATAGAAAAAATTTTTCTTCAACTTCTCGGATGATGAAACCTTCTTTTCAATCTGACGAGTGAATTTTTAAATCCTCAATTATTCCTCTGAGGACATGTCGCAATTGGATTTGGGAAATTAACTTTCAATAATTTTTTAATTTTTTTTTGTTGAATGAAAAAATACAAAACATGAAAATTTAAATTCGGGGATCTAAATTAAGAACAAGCGACCATGCCTTGAAAAATCACAGATTATATCACCGTTAAAAAGATATTTAACCGGAAAATGGCATGATAAATTTTTTCACAATCATAAATGACAAGCGCAACAACCTCGAATGTATTTCTATACCTTGGTGCTTATTTTAGATTTCTTTTTCATTCAATTTACGACAAACTCTTTTCAAATTAATATAAATTAGGAAAGATTTAAAACCATTCTTTTTATAAATAATTTAAATTTAACATATGAAAAATAAATAGAAAATTATTTGAGGATGTGACGTTGATGATGATTCCCACGCAACCTTTGTGCAACTTTTGCCCAGATTTTAACCTCACTTTTCTTATCGTATGAAAACTGTCGGGTTTGAAAATAATTTTTTTAAATTTCTTAAAATCTTCAATTTTATTCCTTAAAAAAATCATTCTAAGGATAAACCAGCTCAAATTCCTTAAGAATGACATTCTTGATTACAATTTTCAATTTTAATAGAATGACATTTAACGTCATTTAATAAAAATAACTTTTTTTCATAATTTTGCACACTCTCGCACAAATATTTACAGAATTTCCATTCGCATGTAGATCATTATAACATTTGGAAGTGATAAAAATAAAAAAAAATAAATCTGATCTTGCAGTAAATTTATTACTCGTGATTTCAACATCTAGCATGAGGTTAAATTTAAAATAAGGACTTGAAACTTGATATTGGATTTATGGAACTTTGTTGTTCGATGTTAGCTTTTATTGATGACAATAAGCTTGAAACCTGTTGATTTTTATTAAAATTATCAGACAGTGAAGCTAATGTTTTTAACTAGTCTTAACTTATGATATTCAGGTTCAAAATGGCTGCAGAAACAAGTCATACATGAGGAACAAGTGGTTCTGATAAATCAAAATTATTCTTGAACTTTATTTTTATTTAAAAATCTCAAATACATTTTAATTTGAAATAACCTCAAACATAAGTCCGAGATCTAACCACTTTTTCTAATACAACAATGACGTCCTCATTTCTACATCATAGAAGACTGTATTTCAATGAATTTTTGTTATGAGTCATAAAATCCCTGTAAAGATTTGTCACGTAAACATGCCAGCCTATTCAAAAACTACAAACAGTACTTGAACCTCCAACATTATTGAAATTTTTCATTGAATTAACATAAACATGCACAGAATTATTCTAAAAATAGAAGTGAACTATCACTTGTTATCAGGCAAGATAAAAATATCCAAATCATAAATATCTCAATGCGAGTGAAGCAAGGAGATTAAATAGACATGAATGCTTTAACATTCGAGTTGTAGCTTAATATATATATTTTAAAGAAAAAAAATGTATAGAGACATTGCCAGCTCATACTTAATTTATTACATTTCTAAGATTCAAACGCCCACACACGCACGAATGTGAGAAAAGTTGACTTTCTTAAACAGTCTTCATTTTCTAGCCTCGCGATGAGATGAAAAAAATATTTTCCGATTCTTCTTTCTCATTTTCTTTCCTACGATGATCATTTTTTTTAAATATTTATTCACAGAAAAATCAGTCGTGTTGAGATGATTAGGGAACTTTAGTAGCAACCACAATACTCACAAAAATGTTAATTTTATTTTTCAGATAAATAAATCAATTCTCACACAGACAGACACAAGACTCGGTTCGTTTTTTTTCTGAATTGCAAAAAGACAAGGAATGTGTGCGATTGAGGAAAAACAGTAATTCTGTGTCGAAAAGCATTCGAGGAAAAAGATTTCTTGCCCTAGTGACGCAGCACATTACACTAGATTTTTTTTTATTTGAACATAGTCTGTTTACTTCCTAATGGTCTCAATCTATCAATATATAAGTTTATCGATGTATGTATCAAGTCACAGGATGCACGAATTTTAATTCAATGAAAATTTTGTTTAATATTTCACAACATGTGGGTGTAAGAGATTAATATTACATAATAATTTCAATGAACAATAATCATGTCAGTTGTGGTGATGAGATATCATAATTTGTGTAGGAAATCAGGCTGTTAAGTGATATTTTCTTTTCTTGATGGTTTTTGAAGGAACGAGTTGGATTTTAAAGATTTTTGATTAATTTAACAAGTTACCGTTATTGTTTGCTGATGCATTGTAAGTTTTATAAGCTTTGAACTTAAAAAACAATCAAGCATCAATTTCTGTAAGATTAAGACTAGTCTCAAACTTTAAATGATGAAAATATAAATGACAATTGTCATGTCTCGACTTCTCGTAGCATTTATAATATGTAGCACAAAAACCAACCTAAATTATATCCAACTTTTGACACACTTCTCTGCAAATCACCTGCTTCTGGTTTCGTATTTTGAAGAATTTGAAAAATTACAAAATTTACATTTTTAAATACAATTTATCAAGTTGATCGATTAAATATTCATGTCTCACTTATTGCTCAATTTATTAAGTTACTCACTTGAAACACAATAGTAAATGCTAAAGCTGAAAAGTCATAGAAAAACAAAGCTCTAATTTCAAAACTGAATCATTAAAGCTAAATGATCACATATAACGTCATCAGTGTCTACCAAGTAGCAACAAAATAAAACTAATACATCCCCAAAAGACATTTTCAAGAAATATCTAAAAATTTCTATTCAAAATAACTTTAGAAGTTAGTTTAAACAATTCAAATTCCACCATGCAGCTTTCATTAACGCTTGAGTTTGTTTATAAGACTTCTGGCACGTTTGCAATAAAAAATTGAAAATTATATTGAGATGAAGCATTTACAATTTTGAGATTTTATTACACATGAAGAAAAATTTGTACAAAAATTTCATCTTATTGGATTCACATGTCTCATTTAAATGAAAATTATGTTTTTCGTAGAACAAGGCATGGCAAATAGTTTTCAAAAAAAATATTCAATTGAAAAGTTTGAAATCTTTTACATTTCCTGTTTGCTAAAAGTTGTGAATTTAATATTCTAGTCAAGATCTATGATCGGATATAAGATCGCTGCTTATTCATTTAAACTATCAAAATTACGTTCAAAGTTCGATTAACCTATAAAAAGTCATTCAAAAATTCAATTCGAAACTAGTATAAATTTACTTAATGTTTATTTGCGTTAGTTTTATTATCTCAAGTTACAAGTGGTTGTGGCACTGATCGAACCCTCTTCTAAAAGAGTTCGCTTTTCTGACAAAGTCTTTAACAAGACGAGAATCGAAAAGTCATTCAATCGAAGCTTAATAAAGAGACTATTTTGATTTCTGACGTAATTAATGAATGATTCATCAGTAACAGTGTGAATATCATCCACAAAAAAATAAAATTATCTAAAAATCAATTTCTATCAAAACAAACTTTATTATCTGCTCAAATAAACAGGAAATGAACCTATTTACTCTCTCAAAATCTATCTAATTTTATTGCGAATTCCTTAAAGCAGATGAAACTCATTCATTATTGGTGAGGAACAAAAAAGATATCTCACATATTGCGGATGTAGTATATTGACTTTAAAAATGACTATTTTAATAAACAGACCGTGACGAGAGCCATGACCAGGAAGCTATGACAAGCATATTTGCCAATTTTTTTATCTATTTTGCACATGTTTAATGTAATCTTTAAAAGATTTGCGATATGTTTAAACCACAAGAGCTTGAAAGACGTTGAATATCACATTACAAAGTAAAAAAGAAAGAAAATGTGATCGTAAATGTTTCAGTCGAGAAAAATAACTCCCATCCTATGTTTTGCACCATTTAATATAATTAATTCAACACGATGATGAAATAAAAAACAGAAGTAAGAAGCACACCTCTATTCGATGAGATTGAAAATTCTTTAATTTTGAGGTAGAAAATGTGAAAAAAAATTATAAGGCGGTGTGTAAAAGACTACAATTTATTTTGCAATTTGCATAGGTGTCGCGTGGGTGTCAATATGATTTAACTTATAAATAAGTATAAGACTACAAACACTAGTGAATTTTCCCGAAAAAAATTTGTTTTTCTTTGTAGTTTTTTTTTTCGGGGGGCATAAAAATATTTTTCTTGTATTTTTACGAGAAAATTTCATTCATATGTAGTTGACAGGTTTGGTTGTGTTTCGGGCCATTTTTGGCATCGAGACTACTTTTCTATTTTAAATTCTCATCCTTTCTCTCTATCTCTCTCTCCTTTTCATTTGCCTGCTCAGCATTAACTTGATTTTTCGATTCACCACGTGCATTGATCTCTCTCACAATGATGTGCTCTTTAGCACTGATCATTTTATGAATATATATAATTTCCACTGTATATTATTATCCCACACACATCTGCTGATGTGTAAATCTGTTAGCACAAAATCGACGAGCAAGAAGAAAATAATAAAATGAAGGAAAAAAAATTTCCAAATTGCTTTTTTAATGCTCACATTTGTGACAATAAAAAGAAATATGCAAAAAAAATATTTGTTACTCTTTACAGTTGTTCCATTAAATTAGACAATAAAAATGGCTGATGAAGAAGTAAGGTAAGGATGATCGTTCCACATTAGTGACCAAAATTTTTGATAATTCTCCTTGTTGGATCTGATTTTTATAGATTCTTCAACAATTATCATTTTTTTAACTTCAAAATTCATTTATGGACATGCCAATCTAATTATTAATCTCGTCTTCTTATTCTCTTTGCAGTATTCTCAAAAAACAATCATGAGTTGTCAAAATTTAACCAATGATCCTTTTAAAAATAGGCAAAGAAGGCCAAGCAGGCTGAAATTGAACGCAAACGTGCTGAAGTACGTAAGCGTATGGAGGAAGCCTCCAAAGCCAAGAAGGCAAAGAAAGGTTTCATGACACCAGAAAGAAAGAAGAAACTTAGAGTAAGTAGATCAAATAGCCATGATTCCTGTACAAAATCCGTTCAATCAAACATTTCTCAATTTCTAGTTGCTGTTACGTAAAAAAGCCGCTGAGGAATTGAAGAAAGAACAAGAACGCAAAGCAGCCGAACGTAGACGTATCATTGAGGAGCGATGTGGCAAACCAAAGGATCTTGAGAGTGCTAACGAAGGTATTTATACTCGTTTATCCAATACTATTGATGAATCATTCAATTATGGATGAGAAAAAATCCAAAACATTCCATTTTTTCTTATACTCTACTCTTTACCCCCTCAAAAAAAAAAAAATCAAATCACTTTTGCCGAGAAAATTGAATTTTCGACAATCTTCATCATCTCTTTATTATTTTTTTATTTATTTATTTTTGTTGAGAAATTTTTCATTCGTAAAAGAGAATATTTTTCGGATCATTCAAAAAAAAAAGAACAAAAAATTTTCTATTTTTAAAAATTTTGTAATAATTGAACATACATACAAGTTACATACATTTTCCTCTCTATCTCTATCTCTACATGTAGGAACGAACGCATTTTTAATTTTTATTCATATTTCTTTTAAGTCATTTCGATCAGCAATTTTCTGTTCTTTATGATTTATTTTATCATATTTTTTTTTATTCTTTATTTTTATATTTTATTTTGGTTCATTAATTTATTTTATTTCTTCATTCATTGCTGATTGCATTTTTAATATCATTTGAAAGAGTTCGGTAACCTTGTAGACGATTGAATCTTCAAGTGAATTCTTGGCGGTGGAATTGATTTATTCGGAAAAATAATTATTGAAAAAATTTTGGGGTCTTTTTTGTTCGTTTCCACCACCTTGAAATTCTTTCATATTGGTTCATACATTTTGAGTCACAAAGATGCATTTCGATGTCTATTTATATGGCTAACACCTACATGTATCTTTTTGAGCTCAAAATATTTTGGCACCACATGTTGAATTTATCAAATGTGTTAAAAATTTCTATTTCTGCATTCGAGACAGGAAAATTCCAAATAATTTGGATAAAAATTTCACTAGCTTGACGCTACAAGGTGACGTAATTATTACCGAACTCTATAAATAAATATCTCACTTATTTCGTTTATGAAGAAAAACAAAAAAAAATTTTAAAATATATTTTTTGAAATATATACTGTAATGTACACTTCATACACACTAGACTCAATCTCGAAGGTCTGTCAAGATTATCATAGTAGAATTGCAAGATTGGAGGAGGAAAAATACGATTTGGAGTACATTGTCAAGGGAAAAGACTTCCAGGTACACATTGACATACACACACAAAACAATTATCATAATTTTGCAAAAAAAAAAATACTTTCAACCTTCAAAAGAAATAATTTTAACTTTTTTTCTTTAAAATATATGCTCTATCTAATCTCTCATCTTTTTTGAATTGATCATATTTTTTTAATCTGACAATTTTTGAGCGAAATTAAACGTTTTTTTATAAATTAAATTAAAGTAAAGATTTTTTAAAAAATTAAATGAACAAAAGCTACCAATGGCAGGTGGCTCAAACGCATTTTTGCAGTAAATTGATTTATCACACCATTAAGTTTGAAATTTAAAAGAATTTTTGGATTTTTCCAGTTCAAATTGACATAAATATTAAATTTTCTAGGATTAAGAAGTCTTATGAAACTAATTCAGTACTTGTTTTTGCTGAATTAAGCTTTATTTTGATATACTTAGTTGGGTATGTTTTTTTCAGTTGAATTCAGCGTATTTATGATTTTTTGCTCAATTCAGCTACCTTTAAATCAGAGTGTTTTGAATTCAGCTCATTTTGATTAAAACTCAACTGGATTCATCATGATTTTTATATTGTTTTGCTGAATATTTTGAATTTCCAAGTTAACTCAGCTAAAAATGAACAAAAAAGTTTTAAAAATCAATTCAATCAGCCTTAGTGTCATTACAGCAATAGATTTATTAATATTGCAAAAATGCGTTAAAAGAACAATAGTTTCTGGTGGCCATGACATCACAAATCTGATAAATAATATTTTAAAAGCTCATCGCAAAAATATACTGGAAAAATCACTTCTACTTTCTTATTTTTTCTCTCTTTCTTTTAATATAATTTATACTTTTTGGTGTTTTTAATCATTTTTATAATTTCTAATTTTCATTATTATTAATTTTGCTGCCAACCTAAACACAAAAAAAATTCAGTTGAAGTATTAAATGTTGTTCGTTCTTTTGATGTGTACATTTTTTAAAAAATATTTTAAAAGCTAAAACTTCGATAATTTTTTTAAGTACCAAAAAAACCACAACAGTTATAAAAGCCATTTTTGACTTTTTTGAATTTTTTAACGAGTTTTTGATTTTTGTTTTTTGATTTTTTTGATTTTTTGACATATGCCAGTTTACTTCATTGCTATAAAAATATCAGTTGAATTATTATTTATCCTATTTTTACAGAATTTATTTAAGACGGCCTACAAAAAAAACTATTTTTTAATAATCTTTTAGCGTTTTTTAAGCATTCGTTCCTCCCAGTTATTTTATGCAATGTTTTTTTAATATAGTTGATTTTTTGGTATCGAATTTTTGGGGCTGGATTTATTGGAAAAGTCAATAACTTGACTTGAAAGCAGTTTTGATCAGACTGTTTGATATTTTGATTAAAACAAAGCTGGAAAGCATGTAATTTTAAAATTGGACTAGTTTCTGATTTTCAGCAAAATTTTAATATTTTTTAATAATTTAAAAAAAACTGAAATTCATAACTTTTCCAAATAAAAAACAGCCCAAAAGTAGACTTATTTTCAACACTAAGATTAGCGACAAATTCCTTCCAACTCTTAGCAAATTAGTGACTACGCAAATGATTTTTTTTCATTAAGACTCAAACAAAATTATTATTTTTGACATTTAAATTATTTAATATTGATAAATAGAGGATATGATTAAAGCTGTTCAAGACTATCACAATAGGATAACTGAATTGGAATCATTAAAGATAGACTTTGAAAGAGGAGTGACTATGAAAGATTACGAGGCAAGAAATTTATTTTTTTTTTGTTTTTTGGAACGCATTTTTTTTTCTCTCTCAATTTCTTGCGCGAAAAAAATAGCCAAAAACATAGTACATGAATATTTTTTTTAATAACTGCCATTGTTCTTGTAGCTTTTCTTTAGGAGGAGAGAATAATTTTTTTTACAGTTTCAGTTTATATTTATATGTTGTCTGTGTAGAATGAATTTTAGAGTATCCAAATCTAGAAACAGAATTACACAAACAAATACACACACTCTAAAAAGCTTCTCAAAGCTCAATGTTGTAATTTAAACTTTAGACTTCCAGTGTATGCCGATAAATAGTCATTCATAACAATTCTCGTTGCTATTTTTTTTTATTAATTATTATTATTATTTTTTACTGTTATCGATGTCCTGATCTTTACAAAAAGTACAGAATTATGTGCATAACTAGTGAATCTTTTATTTATAATTTAGAAGCCAAAATGTTTGCTTTAAAAATTTAACAGCCAAAACAAAAAAAAAACCCCTATTAAAATCTAATAGTAATTTATAGGATGAAGACTAGTTATTTTTTTACTGCTCAAACCCATCATAACTTCACATCACATTACATATATTCGTAAATAAGAAGAAAGAAAGAAAAAAAAAATAATCACATCAGTTTATAAAGCACAAATAGTCTTTTCCTTGTATTTCATCGTAGTTTTTGATTTTCCTCCAGCAAACGCTAATTACTTTTATTAAAATCGTTTATTTTGGAATTTGTTAAAGTGAATTCCAACCTTTTTTTATGTTCTTGAAAATATCAAAGGAAATTTTCTCAATTTTTATTTATTATTATTACTTATTATTTATGTTATAGTTTATTTCTTATTTTAACAAGAGAATGAAACTAAGTTAAAGTAAAGCTAGAGTTCTGTAGTAGATTTTAATCTATTTTTTTGAAAGTTTTCAATTTCATTTTTGAAATCTTTTTATTAAATTAATTATTACAATTTCTTTTTTATGTATCGTACCTTATTTTCGAATCAATTGTACTGTAGAAGTTTTAAATATTGTTTTAAAAATTTGACTTTGTCTTAGTAAATAATGAATTTTGGTGTTTTCGCGCCAAAAATTTGTTACATCTTAAATGATTTTATTTAAGTTCAAAAAGGAGTTTAAAGATGTTATATAATAAAATTTTGGCACAAACAATAGCTAATTAAACTCAAGCTACGTAAGTTTCATTCTCTTGTGATTTTATGCTTTGTTACAAATTTAAAGTGAAAACCAACAAAAATGCAATTCAAAAGAAACAGTCTTTTTCTGACGAACTGAAAAGACATGTACATTGAGGGCTCGAAGTTTACTTAATTTAATTCGATTAAGAAAAGAAATGAATACAAAATGAATAATAAAATTTGGTAATGTGCCAAAAATCGCATATTTTACTCCCATTCTTCTTGTTTGAAAAGCAAAGCAAACAAACTTGACGATATATTCTGTCTATACATACTCTCTTGTTGTCCAGCACAAAATTAAAAAGCAAAAATATTTTTATAAATTGAAATATTTTTCTTAATGTAAATAATTTTACTATCTATGAAATTATCATTATATTACATTTAGCTGAGCTACAGACGATTTGTAGAGAATATTGGAATAAAATTGCTCGATTGGAGGGTGACAAATATGATTTAGAAGTTATTGAGCAATTTAAGAAATATGAGGTAATCGGACAACCCGCACGAGTTATATTTCTATATACATTTAATATAAGATTTTTTTTTATTTGTTTATTATTTTTCTTACAAATTATTACATAAACCAGTTTCAAACTTATTTTAAAAAAATTAATTTTTTAGTAATGATTATAAAATTTGATAAAAATGAAGCGATTTTTTAGAGTTTTTGAAATAATTTTTTGTTTCAATTTTTTTCTTAATTTTTTCTTGAAAACAACAAAAAAAACTCAATTAAAACCAAACATTTTAATTTATATTTTTATTATGACGAAATACACAAAGTGGCTGCTTCCCTTTTGACTATTAATTTAAATTTACATAATTTTTTTTTTCGTTTTTTGGAGATGAATTTGAAAATTTTTTATTTCGTTTTTGAATATGGAATTGACTTGATATGATTATGATTTTAATGGATTTTTTTTATTTGAATTTACTCTTTATTTTGAATTTGATAGTCTAAAACAGAACTATACAACAAAAAAAAACATGGAAACAGATGTGAAAAATATTCTAGAGAGTTTATATGCGTTATATCCTTTTTAGTGAATTTAAAAGGACTGTCAAAAATATATTTCTTTAAGTTTAGGCTTCAATAAGAGTTCAAAATGATTTCAGGTCCAATAATTGTTTAAAGCAATTTAACGGTTTATTTTATTTTAAATTTTATCAATTAGACGTAGATGCACAGTCTTTGGAAATTGTCATGTTTACTCAGTTAAATTTCGTAGTTCAAACAGGAAACAAAGACAAAATTAGCTTCAACTTAATTATTAGACACACTTGCTCAATTCTTATTAGATTAGAACAGAATTAATAAGATTTGACTTCAAAATATTGCTTTAAAGCTTAATTTTTAAAGTTAATATCTTAAGTTTCAAAATTTCAATCTAAAAAGAAACAAAATGAAGTTTTTGACAGTTCTTGAAGATGATCTTTTGCAAAGGTATTCTAACGAAGTTTTTTACGCACTTCAACTCCTCGTGTTAAAATCTAATTGTATCGTAACTTTGCATTTTACTCGCTCTTATGCCAGATAAACTTTGAGATTAAAATGTCAAAAAAACTCGAGTACTTTTATCACTTTTCCCTCTTTTTTACCATTGAAACAAAAAAAAAAACAGCTCATCTCATTGAAACTTCATTTTTTCTTATTTTTTTGTCTTTATTTTTTGCGCTATGTCATTTTGCATTGTCTTCTTTTATCTCATTATCGACATACACAAGATGAAAAAAAGATTTCTCAGTCAAATTATTTTTGTTTGCACATTCACCAACCAACCTACCAACCAAAAAACCAAAAAATTTGATAATTTACCAAAAAAAAACAATCATTCACGATATTCAAAATTATAAGAATGAGAAAAGAAATATTATAAAAAAATTCAATTTTTAATCTTTATCCTATACAGAACAATTGAAGGATATTTTAAAAGAATACTACGACCGAATGTATTTATGTGAAGGCCAGAAATGGGATCTTGAACATGAAGTCCGAAAAAGAGATTGGGAGGTACTGCCAATTGAATTTAAGAACAAAAATTATTTTTACCAAAAAAATATACTCAAAAAACAATCAAAAAAATATTTACAAAAAAGACTTGATTTGTTTGAGACATGAACAACAACAAACACAAAACAAAAAAATTTTGCAACCCTTTTAATTTTTTTTTTCTTTTTTGTTTACCTTTAAATCGAGATTTTTTAAATTTAATATTCAAAAAAAAATTCATGAGCAACAAAGACATTTAAAAAAATCAGTAATTAATTTATTTAAAAGAAAATTATCTTAAAATTCATGTCCCTTATCCATTACGAAGGCTTTTTCACTTTATATAAATTCCATTATGTATATATTATTGTTAGGTATGGAATTGAGATAGACTTAACCTAAAAACTTAAGTGAATGTTGTCGTTGATTTTCCCGTTCTAATCTTTCATATCATGAAAACAGGAAATTTTCTTTGGAAATCTTTCAAAAAAGACGGGAAAATTTCAAAAAATATTAAACTAACCTCAAATATTTTTCTAAATCCTTATAAATCCTAAATCTTTAATCAAAGTACAAAAGCTCTTGCATTTAGATTACTTAGATTATTTACTTGAGTAAATTATAGGTTAGGTTAGATGTAAAAAGTTATATTTTCAGATAGTGAAAAAGCCTTTATGTTTTGATCCATAAAAAAATCCCTTTAAAAAACACCGAGCCTAAAAAAACGAGTTTTTGACAAAGCTGTAAAAAAATTTGCAGTAATTAAAAACGTTTAAAAATCAAACTTAAATTTTAACATTTTGACACTGACATCGCCTTGTCACAAACTAAATCAAATAGGCTGCAATTTTTTTTACTTTGGTTTTAATTTCTTTTATTCACATTTTTTTTTTTCATTGAACACGCTCGATAAAAAAAGGCACCAAAACACACATAAACATTTTTTCACAATCCCATCATTGCACTTGACTCCCACACTCATCCTATCTATCACACATCACTTTCTTTCTTCTAAAACTGCAAACATGATCGACTAGAAAAAAATATTTTTGAAATCAACATAAAATCACAATTAAATTACATTTATTAATATTTTTTGAATTTTTTTATCAAAAATTTTTATAGATTTTTTGACAGAACACAATTTTTGTTTAGTAAAGCTGACCACTTTCTTTCCATAAAGCACCTAAACACACATATACATACACATAATCGCCACATGAATTTGCATGACACTGCGAAATGTATAGAAGATTATACACTTGATTAAACTATTTTTGACTTTCAACATTCACTCATTTTTTAAGGCCAGGGAGCGGAAATAATTCTTAATTATTTTAAACTGCATGAAATTTTTTTACAATGTCTTAAATGTATTTTGATTTATAGAACTCTTCGAATTTCAATAATTGTTCTCTGTTTATATCAGTTTTAAATTTTTGTAAATCCAGTAAGATATCCATTTGTCATCCAACAATACATAATACAGTGGATTTTCCTTAAATGTCTGCATTTCTCTATGTAATTCCTTTGTTAAATTAAGTTTATTGAATCATAATTATTGATTCTTTTGAATATATCCAATTGAAAAATAACGACAATTTATAATTTAAATTATTGCATCTTTGGATTTGTTCCCGCATCTTTTTTATTTTGCTATAAAGACACAAATTCGCTCATTTTCATTTGAAATTTTGATTAGTAAGCAGTTAAGTAAATTTACTGAATAGTTCTCGTGATTAAATGTTATCTTCAACAGAATTTACGTATTCCAAACTCAACAATCGTTCTTTAAAAGAACAAAATTATTTTTTAAAATACTAAAATTAGCAAGGACTTAAAGTCTACAAGACATTCCACTTTCAAATTTCCGTTCCCTGATTATTGCATAATCATAGCCACCACATACATACATGCACACTGATTTCTATTTCTTTTATACGATTTTAGTGAATTAAACATTCAAAAAAACGAAAGAACTTTTTTGAAATTTTTAAAAAATAATCAATTTTACATAAAAAAAGTAAATTTTTTAATGATGATTTTTATTTTGTGAATTCGAATAACAAAAATTTTAATTAAACTCCTTTATTTGAAAATACTATTAGGTGTGAATTAGTTAAACAGAAAATAAATTTGTAAAAAAAGTTATTTTCGAGCACCCACAATGTACAAAAATCTATAAATCTATGAGTAGCTCAAATCATCAATATTATACGCTTCTAAATCAATAGATAAGCTGAATAGATATTTCATTGGAATGCCCAAAAATGAAACAGAAACTCTCATAACAATTTTGTTTATTTCTCATCTTTTCATAACAGCTAGAATTTTAAAATTTTAAGTTTTTTTTTAAATAAATTTCAAACGGTTTTTACACATTTTAACAAGCTGTTAACAAAAAGCAGAAGTTTTTTTTGGCGTCAAACTTAGATAAACAAGAACATAAGTGATTTACATAACAAACTACAAGACGTTCAAATTATTGGCAATATACAATCACCTTGACTTTTAACTGTATTGAATTTAAAGCATTACGAAAAATTTTGAAAATTTTGCTGTCCCAAAGAACCTTTTCCTGAATTTTCTGTACGATCACGTTGAAGCTGGACATTATTTTAGAGCTAGATTGTTAAATTGGTCTTGATTGATGCTAGGATTGTGGTTTTCTTCCTTCAAAATTTTTATTTTAAATCAAATTGATAATTTTTTGTCAAAATCTTTTAAAAAACTAAGATTAAAACAGTTTATAGAAATGTTAATAAAACCCAAAGTCAGTGGTTCATGCCAAGTATTTAATCACAACCCTAAACACATAATCTGTTCTTAAAAAAAGTCAGCTTCCTGAACCTTCCGAACTTCATTTCACAAAACCCATTAAAATTTATTGTTGGTAAATGTCACAAATTTCAAAATTTTTCACTGTTGTTCATTTCAATCAACTCGATGTAGATTAAATTTTCTACAGTTTTAAGATCCACAAACAAGTCCGTTTGAAAGCATCAATAAAAATATTTTTGCTCAAGCCCTATTCTCTCTCTTTATTTTATTTAATTAAAATAAGATAAAAATACATTAAACAGTATCAATTTACACACAACAGGCAATTAAATTGTAAATTTTGTAAATATTTTTTTCTACATGATTCAAAAGATTTTATTATATATTATTCTATGATTATGATTATATCCAAAGAACAAATACGACAGCAACAACATATTCGTGTGTTTTTCTATTGTTTGCACCAAACATTTTCATTTTATATTTCCAAGAATACAAAATAAAAAAGATCCGCACCATTTTTTATTGTAATATTTAAATATTTTTTTGCTGGGTTTTTCAACTTTTGTTTCGCATGCAAGAATATTTTAAAATTATGTTGTAGTTTAATTATTGTATCAACCCCCACTCGGTTTTCAAAATTCAATTATCTTAGTTTTCCATTCCAAAATTTAGATTAAATTTGATATTTTGCCTTAACATCATTTAATTTGATAAGAATTGTTTTTTCAAACAGTATGGCACCATTAGTTAAATTGTTTCTTCGTAATTTAAAAAGTTGTAGAATTTAACGGTTATTTTAGATATAAATCTTGTCAAAACTATTCAAAAATTTTTAAAGCTTTCAAAAAGTAAAATTTTGCTCAAATTTTTTTAAAATATTGCATATAGTTGCTCACCCCTCGAATTTTTTTAAATCTTAAACGACCGTTATTTGCTAAAACTTTTAAATCTTTTTCTTTTCTATAATCAAAAGTTTTGATTAGTCACTAGGTATTTTGGGACTACATAAATAATTTTAAATCTTTTTTATTTAACATCAAAAACATCATTAAAAAATTTACTTTTTTAAAAAATCAAGTCATTATTTTGTATTAGCGAATTTAAAAGCTGATTTCAAAAATTTCATAATCCTGACAATAACAGAACTCCTCTCCAGACAACATTTCAAACTAACACATAAAACACATTCTAATTCTACTTCCAAAAAAATCTCATTTCTATTATTTTTTATACAAATCCTTTTTTCTGTTTTTCATGTCACAAATCATTTTTTTCTAAAGTTACAATTTCAATCACAAAACAATAATGTTAATCGTTTATCAGATTACAAAGCGTTGTAATTTATTTAAATAAGAATTTGCGTGCCATACTGTGTGCAGTACCTTCACAAAACATACAAAAAAAAATCTAAAATATCAAAAAAAGTAAAATTTTTTGTTTCCTTATTGTAGAAAGTTTTACTGTTTTTTAATTTCTTTCTCTTTTGTCTATTTGTTATAATTTGTTAATTATGATCCCCCCATCTTTACACGATACAACAGATCTCATGATATGTTTCTCGGGCTCATTTTTTCGATATCCCTAAATTCACAATACATCAAAATTAATTTTTTTGTATATTTTTTTTAAATTACTTTGTATAGATCCCATAAATGTATGTTACATAATTTATTTTTTTTAAATTAAGCGGACAAAAGTAAAAAATCTGTTAAAAATTAATTTTCGTTGTTAAACATAAATACATTTTTTTCTATAAAAACTAAGCAAAATTAAAATTTCAAAAAGTTCGAAATTTTTCCATCATAAACAAAAATTCCCAACCCGGTGAAAAACTAGCCAAAAACTGAAATTATTGATGATATAATGAAGATGCGAAGCAACACTGAATTTAATCAGAACGAAATAAATGTTTCACCAATCTTTGTAATTAAATAATCAAGAAAAAAAGAATCGTATGAAGCCAAGAAATCTCTCTAAAGTAAAAGCAACTTGAATCAGTCTAGAGATGCCAAAACTTGTGCAAATAAATTGACTCTTTTGCACCATTTGTGTATGCCATATTAACGGAATTTTGCTATAACCACTTCAAAAATGCGAATGCCTTCCGCTCTGAATGTTGTTTTACAATTTTATATATTTATTTATTTTTTTATTTTTTCTGTATGTAAATATCTGCTGTGTGCATTAACACATCATGCAAATCAGAATCTCGATACTTAATATCTACATTTTACAATATATGTATCAATACAGGACAAAATATATGTAAAATGTATGATGAATTTGCATGATCAACCTAATATCTGTATAGACTTATTTTCGCTTCCATATGCTTCTTGCACATTAAACACAAGATAATATAAAAAAAGATTAAAAGAAAAATTATATATTTTTTTTTATAATTATTAGTTTTATTATTATTTTTATTTGAAGATTTTTTAAAGAGGAATTTATGTTTATTTTATGAGCTTCTCGTCAACTCTTTTATACTTTTTATTGAAATTTCAAACGATTTTTAAAAAAATTAATATTTCTTTCTCTAAAATCGACTGATTCCTCAGTGAAAAATCTCCAAGAATTTAATTATATGTTGTCGATGATCATTTTTGAACAATTGCATTTGAAATTTTAAAATTTGTTTTTCAATTTTTGCAAGAAATTGTTTAAAGTTATTCAATAGTTTTAAATGAAAGTTTTTTTAATCTAAGACTGTTTTTAACAGTTCGAATTCAATTTTTAACAGTTCGAATTCTAATTTTACCACATTAAATTCAATTTTGAAGATTTTGAAATGTTTTAAAGTCATTTTAAAATGACAGATTAAAATGAATTTGAAAAGAACTTAGGATTAGCTTTGAGTTTGATTTGAAAAAGGTTAGAACTTACTTTTTAAAATGCATAGATCAATAGCAATGCATAGTAATTTTCCAAAGATGATCATCATTTTGAAAATGTAGAATTGTAGATGAAAAATTAATATTTAAAGATCATAAATGAGACTTTTCTAACATATTATTTCTTTTTCTTCTCCTTTATAAATGATTTTATCATAAATCTAGATCTCCGATCTTAACGCTCAAGTCAACGATCTTCGTGGTAAATTGTAAGTATTTTGAGACTAAAGACTCCGAATGGTTTAAAATTAAGAAGCTATAATGAAAAACTTATCTAATTTTTTCACATTTTAGCGTCAAGCCAACTCTCAAGAAGGTTTCCAAATACGAGAACAAATTCGCCAAGTTACAAAAGAAGGCTGCCGAGTTCAACTTCCGCAACCAACTCAAAGTTGTCAAGAAGAAGGAATTCACCTTGGAAGAAGAAGATAAGGAGGTAAGATCATACTTTAATTCACAAAATCACACCAATAGAGTCATCAGTCATTAGCCCATTCAAATAAAAATTTCTTTCCTTATGTTTAAAACATAAAAAAAATAATCAACAAATTAAAATGGAAAAATTTTTGGAAATGTTTATTACAAGTTGTGATAAATTTTCCACAATCGTAAAATTAATAAATTTATTCATTGAAACATTCCGTTAGGTCGCAAAAATTCCCTCAAAAAATTGAATTTGAATAATATTTTTCAATTCATTTTTAAAAAATTTCCCCCGAAATCCTATCAAAAAAAATTACAGAAGTCCTCGTGTTATTGATCGAGGGACTTAAGCGCATTTTTGTGTTAGCGATCAGTATTTGATTATGTAATTATTTTGCGTTCATTTACAGATCATGAGAAGATTAGAAGATCATTAATTTTAGTGTAATTAACAAAAAGTTACAATGAATGCTTATATAGAAAGGATTATTATTTAACGGTCAATAAATAATTTGAAATTTTGCCGTTAAAAGTTGCACTACGAAAATATTAATTATAGTATAATTAAACAATTTGTTGCAATAAATTTCCATACAGAAAGGGTTTATCATTTAACGGTTTTTTTGTAATTCAAATTTTCTAAAGGTCAATAAATAATTTGAAATTTTCCCGCTATAAGTTGCACTACGAAAAAATTAATTATAGTATAATTAAATAATTTGTTGCAATGAATTTCCATACAGAAAGGATTTATCATTTAACGGTTTTTTTTAATTCAAATTTTCTAACGGTCAGTAAATAATTTGAAATTTTCCCGCTATAAGTTGCACTACGAAAAAATTAATTATAGTATAATTAAATAATTTGTTGCAATGAATTTCCATACAGAAAGGATTTATCATTTAACGATTTTTTGTAATTCAAATTTTCTAACGGTCAGTAAATAATTTGAAATTTTCCCGCTATAAGTTGCACTACGAAAAAATTAATTATAGTATAATTAAATAATTTGTTGCAATGAATTTCCATACAGAAAGGATTTATCATTTAACGATTTTTTGTAATTCAAATTTTCTAACGGTCAGTAAATAATTTGAAATTTTGCCGTTAAAAGTTGCACTACGAAAAAATTAATTATAGTATAATTAAACAATTTGTTGCAATGAATTTCCATACAGAAAGGGTTTATCATTTAACGGTTTTTTGTAATTCAAATTTTCTAACGGTCAATATAATAATAATTTGAAATTTTCCCGCTATAAGTTGCACTACGAAAAAATTAATTATAGTGTAATTAAATAATTTGTTGCAATGAATTTCCATACAGAAAGGATTTATCATTTAACGATTTTTTGTAATTCAAATTTTCTAACGGTCAGTAAATAATTTGAAATTTTGCCGTTAAAAGTTGCACTACGAAAAAATTAATTATAGTATAATTAAACAATTTGTTGCAATGAATTTCCATACAGAAAGAGTTTATCATTTAACGGTTTCTTGTAATTCAAATTTTCTAACGGTCAATATAATAATAATTTGAAATTTTCCCGCTATAAGTTGCACTACGAAAAAATTAATTATAGTATAATTAAATAATTTGTTGCAATGAATTTTCATACAGAAAGGGTTTATCATTTAACATTTTTTTGTAATTCAAATTTTCTAACGGTCAATAAATAGTTTGAAATTTTCCCGCTATAAGTTGCACTACGAAAAAATTAATTATAGTATAATTAAATAATTTGTTCCAATGAATTTCCATACAAAAAAAGTTTATCATTTAACGGTTTTTTGAAATTCAAATTTTACAACGGCTAGAAATTTTTTGAAATTATAGAGGTAATATTGAAATTATAGAGGTAAAATAAAATTTGAGCAGGTTACACTGAAAACAAAACAAAAATTCATTAATTATAGCATAAATACACTGTTTTAAGATTTTTAAATGTCCGGCGGGCCAATAACTCGATATAACGGAACTAATGCAAAAAACTAGAACTCTCTACGATGTCTAGATTAAAAGTTTTTCTTAGCGGCCGACCAGCCAGCCGACCAGCCGACCAGCCGACCAAAGTGCGTTATTAAGCTACCTTTTTGAAACAAGTTTCAAAAATGCGCTAAAAATCGTAAAATCCTTTAAAGCTGAAATATAAAGAAAATATTTTCATGATGAACAATTTTGTCAAATTTTCCTGCAGGCGAAAAAATCCGAAAAGGCTGATTGGCAGAAAAAGTAGAGAGTTTACACATTTAAAAAACATACAAACCATAAAAACTATTTTAAAAACTGACTTAATAAAATAAAAAAATCAAACAGATCAAAAAAATTTTCTTTGCAAATTCGAAGTCAAGTTTAAACAAAAACTACAAAATTCAAATTTTTTTCCTCAAATTTTTTTTTGTTTTTTGATAATCTTTTTTTTAAAAAAATAAAAAAAAACTTTTAATAAATAAAAAATGAATCTAAAATAACCAATAATTAGAAGAGATAAAAATTAGAATTTTTGCATTACGTTGGCGACTTTAATTAAGTCTAGGTGAGATATTTTTCAAAAAAGCAACGATTTTTTTTTGTAAAGCTATGCTTCATTTAAATTAAAATGATTTTTTTTCGTGTCACTTAACCAAAAAAGTTTTTTTTGTCACCAGAAAAATAAAATAAAAATCAAGAACCTCCAAAAATCCTAAATTTTATGCAAAATTGTGCCTATCCATTAAAATTCAAAAGCTTTAGTTTATCATCTAGTTTGCCCTTCCATCAAAATATTGAAAAACTTTCATTTTTTTATTCTAAAATTCAAATTTGAGTTCAACGGTTATAAAAAATGTAAAATAAATAATTTCAGGGTGGAAGTTCTAACAAGGTAAAAGGAAATAATTAAGTCAAGGAAGGCAACAATAGATCATGAATTTTAGGGCACAGTTTGATCACTAAAACTTCTCTTCCCTCTTTATTTCTTTCTTATTCTCTAAAACTACTCTTCCTAATCTTTAAACACCAACGAACCTTTAAATGTATTACTGATCTGATCTCTTTGATCTTTGAATGATTTGAAACTACATTCCATTGTCCCATGGCTGTTGTAACTGTGTTGTTTGAGTATTATGTAGATTTTGAGAATTTGGATGCTTTGATCAGCACCAAATATGTTGAGATTTACGTTTCAAGTGAAGCAACGTAATCAGTTGACAATATTATTTCCTCAAAATCATCAACATAACTCTACAAACTTATCAAGGTTACAAAAGCCATAAGAAAAATTCTACTATTCGAAAAAGCCCTTATTCAACCACCAGCGCATCCAAATTTATTGCTTTCTGATTTTGATATTCTTAAGATTGAGCTATAAACTCCAAAAAGTGGACACAAAAATATTTGAGAACAATAAATAATTTAATCACGTGACATCCAAAACTCCGCAAAATCTTAAGAAAACTCAATCAGCCACATTAATTGCTAAAAAATATTCCCCGAAATTTTATATTTTTTTTAAAGTTCTTCCTATATCCAACAAGTTAACATCGCCAAACTAAAGATTTTTCCATGACAATATTCCGCGTATAAACCTAATTTGCGTCATTCCTTATCTGAGAGTTTTATTTATTTGTTTATTATTGAAGCAAAATGATACTTGATTGTAACTGCGCACGTTTTCTTTGTTGAAATATTATTACGCACATATTGAGGAAGTAGCTTTTGGCTCCCTCCAACATCCTTTGATTACTGCACAAACTAAAATTACAGCACTCTGCAATTTATTTTGCACTTTGATGAGCTCAAATTGAGTTCGAATAGTCAAAAAATTCAGCTTTAAACTGCTTTATCAGGTTCTGTTGTGTTGATTGGACACGATAGTTCCTAATTCAGTAGTGCTTTTAACTGCTTTATTGAAGTTTTATATTTTTTAACATATTTTCATTAATTTTGTGATTTTTTTTCTCTCTTTTTTCTCAACATTAAATCGAATTTTATAGAAAAAACCAGACTGGTCCAAAGCTAAAGATACTAAGGTAAAGGATGACTCAGCAGCAGAAGTCGAAGCCGAAGCATAAATCACAAAATAATTTTACTCCTTCTTTCTAATTATTTTTTTTTGCCAAATTTATCGAAAAAAATTTTCATACAAATTAATAATTTTTATCTTAAAAAAAGAATAATGAGAGAAATAATTTTTTTGAGCAGTTATGAAGGCTAAATAAGAACTGTTGCACATTCATAATGATGAAAAAAGCACATCAATATTACATACAATACATATTATACATACATAAATTTAATTATTATGCAAATTTTACAATCTAATATGTTTATTTTCATTTATTTATTGATTGTATAACATAACATATGCTATGACTACACATAATATTTGTTCTTAATGTTTCTTTGAGTTGGTTTTTTTTTATTTCTCATCAAAAAAAAAACAGTCATAAAGAAGAATTGTCAATTGTTTGCCCACAGAAAAAAATTATTTAAAAAACATAAATACAGTAAGGTAATAATGCGTTTATACTCAAAAGAACATCAAACAATTTTTGCAATTAATTCTTAGTGATTTTTTTGCATTAATAAAATTTAAGTGAAAATAGATGAAAGGAAGATTTTCTTTTTTTAATAAATGCTGATATTTCCCACACGAGATTTATTGTTTAAGGCACTTATGTTCAGGTAATATAAAATTTTCATTGACATTGTATGGTCGATCACAATTTACCAACAAAAAGTCTTTTAATAAAATCTACAAAAATGTATTTGAATTAACAAAAAAAAAAAAAATCAATCAAATTTGTGGAGTTTTCTTGTCATTAATTAGCATTTATTTGTACAAATGCCTCTAAATTGTTATTTTGATCCTCAATATTATTTTAATATGAATAACTTAAAATGAACAATTTAGATGCTTCACTCTGTTTTTTCGTTATAAGCTACTCCTCGTTACTAAGCTACTAGCTTAGTAAAGTTTTTTTGAACTTAAACATTTTTTTGTAATCTTTACTAAGCTACAACCAAAAATAAAGTTTAATTATTCTTTTTCAACTTTCTAAGTATCAGTTTCAATGCCTTATGACATTAACAATGAAATAAAATCGAGAAGATAGCAAAATTTCTTTAATTAAGTTAAAAATTCAAAATTTTCATTGAAGTTCAATATCTTTACTAAGCTACTAGTGAGCCGAAAAAAAAATCACTTTTTTATTATTCTAAGCTACTAGCTTATAACGAAAAAACAGGGTAAATGAAGATTTACTGTTTGATTAACCCCAAAACATGCATCATTAATAAAATCATAGCAGGCGAGCATCAGTAAGTAGCTGCAAAGTAGTTCTATCATTTAGTTTTTGTGCTTTTTGTTCAAGGAAAACAAAGGTTCCTTAAAACTACATCACAAAAATACACAAAATAATCAACAATAAAAGAAAAACACAACAAACTTCGGCTTCTGTTATTGAGATATGTAGAGCTTACATGCTTTATAGAATGCTTTAATAAAATTCTATACATAAACAATTTATTCTATTTGCAGCCTGCAGAAGCTGCCGAAGTTCCAGCCGAGGCATAAACACAAATTCCCTCCGAACAACGAAAAAAAAATATTAAAAATCAAAAATATCACACACATTATCTCTCTATCACACATTTTTTATAATTTCTTCGAGTTTTTCTTTTGCGGCATGTCTATGAAGTGAATCTACTTTGTTTTCTTATAATAAACAAAAGAAAGAAGAAAAAAAAGAATGCAAAATAAATTTTATTTTATAAGTTATACTTTACTATTATTATTTTTGTAAAAGCTTAAAATAAAATATTATATATCTCTCTCTTTCTCTCTCTTCCAATTCAAACCCCATCGCTATCATTGCACCGCAGAACTCTCCATAAATTTAACTTTAATGAAATCTTTTTTTGTGAGATCGAACCTTTTTTTCTGTTTTTAATAAAGAAGATGAAAATTATGAAAAGCTTAAGCTGACTAAATCGATTCTTTTATTGTTTTTGGTGATTGGATGGAGTTTTTACTACTTGTGTTTGTAAGCATTAAAGAGTTTATGGGCGATTCTCTGTAGGGTAAATTACAAAAATTTTGACTTCAAATGAATTTTTTGTCGAAATTTTCCACTAAACCTTACAAAATTTTCAGTTTATCTGATGTAATTTTTAAGATATTTCTATACTTCGGTCTGTTGCTTTGTGACCAAAAATGGAATTTTGTAAAAGTTTTAACAGGGTTTTCAAAAATTTTGTACCAAATACTCATCTTTGCAGCATTAAATGTACACTAAATGATAGATTAAGATCTGTTGTACAATATTTATGCTCAAAACTCCAGTAAAATAGCTTAATTATCGAAATAAATCGATTCTCCGAACATCAACTTTATGTCACAAAGCAACGCAAGAGCTTAAATTTTCTTAATACGTTAAATTACAAAATTTTTTTGATCGAAATTACTGTAATTCTAAACTTTCAAGCTACACTTTCGACAAATTTCATCATTTATAATAAAAGTCAATTATTATTGATGGTTTTAAACTAATTTAAAATTTCAAATCATTCTGTATTGAAAGAAATTGTAGAATACATATTTATGATGTAAGCATAATTGACAACGGATTATAAAAGCTCATTTTGAAAAATTCCACCGTTCTGGAGAATTGCCCTTATGACCATTTGATTTGATGTCAAATTCATTTCATTTCAGTTCATTTTATTTTATTTGAATTTTTAAAAGCCGTTTAAAAGAAAATTCAAATTCTAATTTAAAATAAATTAATGTTTATAACACCAACAAAGAGCTTTTCGAGAAGTTCTTTCCTGTAACGTCAAATGAGAATTTAAAATATTTTAATTTAGCCTTTCAGTCAAGTTCAGTGTCTTGACTGAATTTCCATAGAAAACCAAAGCTTTTTCTATTACAATAACAACATGCTGGTAAGGAACACGTTGTTATCATTGTTTACATCACATCACGCATGTCCATTTCTCCCGTCATAAGAGATGCAACAAGAGAGAAAATTATGTTTAAACTTGAGCAAAATTTTTCCCTTTTTCATTTCATTTTCGAGTTTTCAAGTGTTCGGACGGTGAAAATTTTCGCTTAAACAACTTTTTCCAATTTTTTATATACTTTTTTGTAACACTTTTAGTGAAAATAGAAAGAAAATGCCAAGCTAATGTGTTTTATATTAAAGTAGGTAAATTAATCGATCAAAATCATTCATGTGTGAACCTAATTATGTGTATAGAATTGATGGAAGTTTAATGTGTTGAAAAACTGGGTGGAAATAAATAAAGAAAAAAAATTGTCAATAAAATCAATTTTGCTGTTTGTAAATCAAAGCGGAAAAAGAGTTTAAAAAATTTAAAGCATTGAAAAGTTAATAAAAAAGTGATTTAATGTGAGAATATGAAAAGAAAATAAATAAGGAATAGATTTATAGCTTTTATAAAGTACAGGAAAACATTTTATGCTCGTGTATACAAAAATTTACTACACCAAACTTCTTACTCTCCTTAGATTCTGTATTTACAACGATAAAAATCCATTAAAGAAAAATAAAAGCTAAGGAAGGAGAAAAGCCACAGAAAACTTCTTCATCTTCATCATGTGGCTTACTGTCAAAACTTTTTAGTGTATTTTCTTAAGAAAAATGTGACAATGACCTTGCTTTTAGTAGTTTTTGGATTCCTACACAAATTATTCAACTTTCTTAAAACAATTAAAAACAGTTTGACTTACCTTTGAAGCTTAGTGAAGCAAAAAATGTTTTTCTCAAACAATATCCTCAAGTTATGCACTTATTTACTAGTAAACAAAGAAAATTCAATAAAAAAATTTTCATTTCCTTTTTAAAAGTCTTTGTGTTCTTATTACAATTACTTCTGTTGCTTCTCGTCTGTAATGTAATCCAAAGTAAACAACAAGTCACATAAAAATATTAAAGAATCTATCACTTCAAATTGCAGACGAAAGAACTTTTATGAGATCAAATACAAAACGAAACAAAATTTTAATTTTAACAAAGCTTAATGTGGTTTCTTTGGAAATTTGAATCGTGTTTTGAAAAATGAATGAATTTAAATTTGTAGCAGTTATATCAATCAAAGATTTAAAGTTTAAGATTAAAGAACTGCAAGAATTTGAATTTCCTTTAAAATTTAAACTTAATAGGTATTGATAATTTTTTCGAGAATGAAACGAATAAAATATTCATCCAAACAGATCCTTAATTTTAATAAATCACGTAGACATTCACAACTTTATTTCAAATCCTCTTAAAGATTTAAATTGAATCCCACGATGAGAAATTAATTGAACAAAAATTCATTAAAATTTATGTAATGAACTACGCAATGAAATGCAAAGTTAAGAATTAAATTAAGCTTCTTTTATATTTTAATTAGAATAATGAAAAGTGTCATTTAACAGCTTTAATTCGTAAGACTCAACCATAGCTCTCTATTGAGATCATTTCCTTTTTTTTGAATCTTTCTCTAGGCTTTCCTAAATGCTCTTCAAAAGGGTCATGAGTTAAGCATTCAACAATTTAAATTGGTTCAAGAACAACGAGGATAATGAATGTTTAATTAATGGATGAAACAATTTCTTTTTATATTATTCCAGCAACAAGTGAGAAGTATAATAAGTTAATTAATTAGGCACCGGCACGAAAATGACCGAAAAAGGAATATTTTGGTTGAAATATTCAAATTAGAACCAAAATTTTGCCCCAAGGATGTTTTGAGCTTAAGTAGATTCTCAAATGTCGAGGTGTCAAGACTTATTAGATCCCTTCAAGCTACCCCATCATTTAATTAAGAACAGGAAAAGCCTTGATAATAATTGATTGTTTCCTGAATTTCAGTGAATTAATTCAGCTTTTAAGCTCAACATTTTCAAGAATTTCATTAACCTTCAGACAATTAGGCTTGATGAATAAATGAAAACCTTTTAAAACTCGTCAACAGATCATTAACATTTGAAAATTTTGCATCGTCACGAAGCTTCATTATTTTACAAAAAAGAACCTTCAACGAAAATTATGAATTATTGAAATTTTATGGAAATCATAAATCATTTTATGGAACATCAATGACCATTGAGAATATCCGCATGTATGTATGTCATATTGGCTGATAAAATAACATAAACATGAGCTATAAAATGTTATTTTTGTGAATATTTGAAGCCAATCCCTTTTCACTCTTTTGATTCCTCTTGTAAAGCTTTTCAATCTGTTTTCATTTTCATTGTTTATAATGATTTTTCAAATTACCTTTTTTGAGATCTAAAGTCTGCTTTAAAAGTATTCCTTTATTGCCTTTTTGAATAAAGTTAAAAGCAATAAAAAATTGCTGTTCCGCTAATACCCATGAAAAGCTTTTGTTCCGAAAGGGAAAGCAAGAAAAGAAGAAAGAACCGAAAGAACAGCGTCATTGAACTTGCTGTATTGCCATTTATTACCAGCTATTTATCTTTTTACGCTTTATTTACTTTAATGAATTTTACTGGTATTGAAAAATTGTTTTCCGCTAAACTGTTTATTTTTGAGCTGAAGGTTCTATTTTTTAGGCACAGTTTTAAAAGATGTGACATTGCCGGCTATTGAACAATGATCTAGACTTTAATATTTTTTATTATTATTTTTATTAAGTTTGAAAATTTGAGTTTTACAACCTTGATTTAAGTCTTAAACAAACTCTCGGTACCTCAATTCAATTCCGGTACAACAACCTCAAATCTTCAATATTTTTATTTAGACTTATGATTTTATGAAAGAATCAAACAAGATTGTTATGTTTTGAAAGAATTGAAAGCTTTTCAAGAACCAACAGAGATTTAAAAATTCGAAATTATTTTCTTTTTTTTGTGTTGTGCTTTTATTACTCGTGTAACAACCTCTTGCTTAAGAAGCACAATGTGGTTGATGAAAAAGCAGAGAAATTCCCAAAATTAATTTAAAATACTTGAGAAACAATAAGAAGTTTTGTAAAAGCTTAATTTTACAACGGAAATCTTCATTAGCACCGCATTAAGTAAAAGTTTCATTAAGCTTTCGGTTCAACAAAGCGAGTTGTTGGCATAGATATGAGAAAACAATTTCATTTCAAACGTATTCACTCGAGTTCCTCGCTGCCCTTTTTAGACGCTTAACATGACACAGTTTTAATTCGAAGGATGAGTTTATTGCTATACGCACACGTAAAATTTTCATACTCTGTTAGATTTTCCTACTGTCTGTAGACTTATCTTCTCGTAATGCGCCCGTTATCTAATTATAAACATTCATAATGTGAAACAGTATTTCTAGAAAGGGTCTATGTTTGATGTTGTTCTTCTTCAATCCTTTTTCTGTTGTGTCTACAATGAAATTTTCATACACAAATGATGAAAAGTAACCCGAAGAAGCGACTGGAATATTTTTTAATTTTAATTTTATTTCGCTTTGTACTCGAAACTTTTTCATTAAAAGCAGCTCAGCTTTAACAGATCAGAGAACTTACAAAGTAAATTACGATTGTATTTTGTTCAAGTATCTCAAAAGTTGAAACTTAATTTGAAATCTGAGCATAACAACTAAGCCAGATACAATACGGTGTATTCAGTAAATACAATAATAATAAAAGACAGCAACAACAAATATTTATTGAAATAGCAATTTAAACAAATCCCCACAGTAATTAAATCATTTTCCACAACATACAGGACTGTAATGAGAATGAAAGTGAAATGAAAAGCACATGAGTCACAGCAGCAACAATCAGTTCGAAATGATATTGCCTATATTAACAATTCTATTGATTGCTATAATATTATTCGCTGTATGTCGATATTGGATTTGTGGACCGCGCGCTACATCGTGGCTTCGATCGAATGGTGAAGAAAAAATTGGATTATCAAAAAATAAATTGTATAATGCGAATGGATATATTGTGAGTTTTATGAGTCTTTTATTGTTAATATAATAATGTGTTAAGCATGGACATATAAAAATACCTTTTAAATCTATCCCTTCCGTTCATTGTACCTTAATTTTATTATTTTTTTTTTTGACAAAACATTTTTTTCTTCATTTTTACCTCTTTTGTGTATATCCACTTGTTATAATGAAAATGGCGCGCAACAGGTGCAATCGGGATCAGACATTTTACTCGGTAGTACAGGAAGTTTTAAACGATTTGAATCTGTTGATCGAAGTACATATGAGGGAGAATTAGTCTCGGCAATGCCAACGCCACCTTGGGCAACTGATGAGTCTATTCCACCACAACCGTTAAGACCAGCACCATTGCCATTAGCTACAAAATTAAAATCAAGAAATTCGTCATCATCCTCATCATCATCGTCAATGACAATCAATAAGCACGAAAGTTTTGAACAAAGAGGATCAACATCGTCAGCGCCAGCATTAAAACCAATTCCTAGGCCAGTTCCACGTAAACAAATGTCAGCACCAACAACAAGTTCCCAAATTCCTCTAATTAATCCACCAACAAATGAACAAGGTGGTGGATTAAATAAATTTGTGAAAGATATGCAATCAACAACAAATCCATTCCTTAATGGACTAATAAATTTTGAATCAATTAAATCAAATTTCTTCTCGACAACAATAATTCAGGATACGCCAAGCGAGTGTAAAATTGAGAATGAGCGAGCGACAAAGAGTGCAATAATATCAAAGAATCCATTCAAAAATTCGTCATCATCGTCAATATCATCATGCGATAATAATGTATTTGACTTCAATCCAACCACAATAAAATCAATATTAGAAGAGACCTGTGACGATGGATATGAAGGCGATAACGATGACTGTGATGATCCATTGAAGCAACTTGAAGTTAGGATTCAGAAATTAGAAGCCTCAAATAAACAAAGGCGACGAAGCGATTCACAATCGCCGACCCGCTTTTCACCCAAATCGATGAATAAATCATCAAGTTTATCCTCTGAAACTCCCACACATAGCCCTGAATTGAATTCTAATGTAAATGAGAAATTTGTTGAGTCATTATTCAGTGATGATAGGGGTTATCATAGGAAGCACATGAGAAATCGATCATATTCTGAAAATGAGGTAATTACCGAGCTTGGAATGCTTTGTGAGCAGGGTGATTTCAAAGAGCCTCAGCACAGTCCTTCTGTGACGATGACAACAATAGCCATATCAAACGTATCAACTTCAACCGCAAATTTGGCATCAAGTGGGGTAAACAATCCATTCAATTCGATAGCATCAACTACAACCACAACAACAAATAGTAAGCGTCCTCTTTTAAAAACCCCATCAGAAACTTATCTTGAACAATATAGCACAATGATGAAATCAAATGTAGTAACAAGTGGTCCAAATGTTATCTTAAATAATAACAAATCTGTTCAGCTATGCAAACATCCTTCCCTCAATAAAATCCTCCAAAGTTCATCTTCGTCATTGTTTGATGGCAATGATACACAACAAAATTTAACATCTACATCATTAAAACGTACTATCTCTTCAGAATCAATCTCGTCTGACTCATCTGTTATCATGAGCACTCTTGAACGACCTGTGCCACCTATTACTGGGAACCTCTGTATAGCTTTACAATATGATAAGTGAGTATATTCATTCAATATTGGTTATTAATGTGTGAATGACTTTTGGATGGTCTCAGAATTGACATAACTAGAGTTTGTAAAGTAAAGACTTACTCAACTAAGCTCGATTCCCCTTAATTCCACAATTTAATCATAAAAATAAACTCTATAATCATGGAAGATGCAAGAGATAGAAACATCTGTAGTTTCATGTTCACATCATACGAAAGCACACATAAATATTTATTATTTAATCTCCTTAATTAATTAAACTCTTCATCATATGCTGCTAAAAGATACAATAATTATTCAACTTCTTAATTATTATGTCACGCGTTAGCTAAGGTGAATGAATCTTTATTATTTCCAATTAATCTATTGACATTGAGTTTCTATGTGAGTCTAGTAAGTAGGCGAGGATGCCTAATTAGTCTAAAATAAGATATTGGAGTGTCATGATCGCAATTTCTGTTTATGGATGCTGATGTTCTTTTGATAAGAATGTCAATTCAGCACGTGTCAATTGCTACGTATCTTTTCTAAAAGATATTCTAGGATGATGCTTAAAGACGAGAAGAATGAAAGTCTTCAAGGAATTTTAAAGAAGAATCATTTTTTATAAGCTCCTTAATACTCGACATGTTCAATAAAAAGCAAGTGCGATAGAAATTTAATTTAAAAATTTAATACTTTCCTCTCCTTTCAATTGGCTCGTTAAGGGTTTCATCCTTTAACCTTTCATTGCTTCAAAAAGAAAATCCTTTTTCATTTCAAAGTTGAACATAAAATTTGTTCCACTTATCGTATGAAAAAAAAAGTACAGAAAATTCAATATAATAATGGTAATTGAATGAAATTCCTTATGCTGAACTAAACTCAAAAGAGAAGGCGGATATTATATGTGGGACATAATACATGATGTCATTATAAAGTATATGTTTTGACTCTGATTTATTAGTAAGTACAGTTTCAACCATTCCTTGCATATGGCACACCACACATTCAATGCACAAACATAACTTTTTACTCCGCAAACATCCAGTTATTTGAAAATTCAAACATTCTTTGGTCTTGTTTTAATCATTGGAATTTAATTAATGACTTACTGTAAACTCATTATATGAAGTGTCATTCACATGTTTATTAAAAAGTTGATTGCTATTAATTAGCAGAAAATCAAAGTGATACTTAGTTCATGAACTCTTTTTATCAACTTGTTCTCGTTGTTCATTCGTGTATCGTCAAAGCTTTTGCACAAATGAAGCATTAATCAAAGATATCAAATGCAACTCTACTTTTGTATAGCTTCTTTGAAAATTGAACATGATTTCTTAAAAGATATTCAGCTTACAGAATTTAATTATAAGTTTTAGATGCACAAACAATAATTATTGGATTCATTACTTTAATTATAAATCAGTGATTTGAAAAGTTTCAACTTGATATGATTGAAACCTTTGGATTATAATTTCCTCTAAACAATATAATTCGTTCAAATTTAAAACTCAAGCTTGGAGCTAGTTCCATGACTTATCAGATTGAAAATGCACGTTTCATAAAAAAAGATGAGAATTTTAAATTCAATTAAATTAAAAAAAGAAATTTTGCATCCCTCTTGCATCAATCCACTCAAACTCAAGTTCATTTTAAACAATAAAAGTGCTTGAATAGATGTTAAAGGCATCAATATAGAGAGAATTGTATGTTTCAACTCGCATGCCATGAAAAAGGAAAATATTCCATATAGGTATTGCTATTTTTACATACTTAAAGTATGCATACCTACTTGTTTTAAAAGTATTCACACAATACCTTCATTCTTCTACATGTTGCCTACATTCTATAGGAATTCAAGCATATAAGAGTAAAGAGGCAAACGTGAGAAAAGGGAAAATATTCAATTGAACATAAAAATCTATAAAATATTTTGATGCTTGGAGGTTAGAATAACATAAATTTTTTAAAAATCAATATTTACTTATGAAATACTAAGCATAGTCATCATATGAAGAGAATCTGCTATACTTAATTTTTCAATCATCGTCTTAAGAATTGAAAACCTTTCGTCTCAAATTTTATCTAAACATGACCTTCTGTGAAGGATTAAATTCATCAATGTCTGCACTTCTTTTTCTTTCATTCGTTTCTGTCTAAGCGTGTGTTGAAGAAATTGAATGAAATATAAACTTAAACAATTGAATATCATAGAACTAAAGCACTTAATGTGATTATAATTTTATAATTTAATAACAGACACAGCATCACTGAAGAGGGATGTGAGCTTTTAGTATCGATTGTAGAAGCAAGAGACTTAGTGATACCGCAAGACGCAGATCCTGACTCCATAGATACGTTCGTTCGTGTTTATTTAGTGCCAGATGAAGCAGAGGCAATGCAAACGAAAATATTTAGAAATTCGAGCAATCCTAGCTATCAAGAGAGCTTTCTATTTTTTATAACAAAGCAGAATATCAAGCGATCACTATGGTTTCATTTATATCATACAAATGCTCATTGTACGACTTTAATTGGTAAGAAGCTGTACGAGCTTATGTAATTTTGTTTTCGCTACTTTTTTGCATTTCATAATTAAGGACATTTATTCTATTTTATTTTCAAAAAGGTGAAACTGAGCTGAAACTGACTGAATTTGCAAAGCCAAGAACAACGTGGGTGCAATTATCTGATTCCCGAAACAATTGTGCAAGCTGTGGTGATTTAATGTTTTCACTGTCTTATCTACCAACTGCAGAGCGGTTGACTGTAGTAGTTGTAAAAGCACGCAATTTAAGATTCACAAATGACGAGAATGAAAATCATACAATAAATGGAAACGATATACAGAATGTGTATGTTAAGGTATGTAAATCAATTTGCATAATATTATTATACATCATGTGAGTACCGACTGCATGCAACATAACAAATAAGTATCCTAATAGCAATTTCTGAATTTACATACATCAATTCAGGTGAAAGCTTTCGCATATTAAAGCTACCACAAATATACAATAGACATGACTTGCGGCAGGCAAAATCAAACGAAATGTCTCTTGATAATGTTTCATGTTTTTTTTTTTTCACAAAAACTTTCTAACGTCATATCTATACATGCTGTTGAATGATAGAATCAATAAAGCTTGTGGGAGCTTTGAGAACTGCTTGAACTATATAAATATGATGGAATTTTATGATGTGTTGCACAAACACTTATTTTTTATTCGAGTCATGAGTCTATGTAGCTGAGAAGCTTTGAATGGAATTATTGTGTGAAGAAAAATCGATAATGAAAAGCATTTTGATGAATTTAAAATGTTGAGTAATTAGAGCGTTTCCCATTTCATAAGTATTTGAAAAAGGAGGATGTTTGATTTTGACGAATCATGCTCTTAATAAGTATGAGGATTTACACAAGAAACAATTAGAAATTGAGCTGAACTTGAGGTTTTAAAGAATGGTAAATTCTCCGAATTTCCATAATAATAAAAGATACAAAAAATTTTTTATTTTAATATTTTATAAATAAAACAGAAAACCTAAACCTTTGAAAAACTGTCAAACTTTAGCTTTACCCTATTTTTGGTATTTTAAGTGTTGTTTAAAAGAGCAACGCAATTTTAACAACGTTTTAGATCTAATAATTAAGTTAAAGCTGATTCTTTAAATGATTTCTTTGATTTTTTAAAACAATTTGAGTCAAATTCAGAGGGTACTAATTACTACAACATTTATTCAAATAATTTGTAACCGTTAATAAATTCTTTCTAAACCCAAAATACTTTTGTAATATAACAGCCAACAGCTTTCCGAGAAAATTTATGCCTACATTTTCCTTAAAAAATTCAAAAAAACTCGTAAATCTGTTAATTTATTTCATAATGAAGAAAAAGTGAGAGTTCAAAGTGACTAATTAAAAAACGTCGTAAATTCATAATATGTAGAAGCCCACGCTAGTGAACTTTGTAACCCACTTGAGAAGGAAGTTAATTGTGTAATGAATTTAAATTTAAATGAGAGAAAAATATGAAAAAACTGAGAGGAAGAAAGGAAGAAAAAACTTTTAATAAGCATCCCAAAAAAAATCTCTTCGCTCTTTTGCTCATTGCATTCATAATTTTTCATTTTCCACTTGTTATTTCTCCTCAAACAGGTCTATTTACTTAAAAATGACAAGAAAGTTTCAAAGAAGCGTACAAGCACAAAGCGTGGCGAGAGAAATCCACTTTTTAATGAGGCAATGATATTTAGTGTCCCACCGTACTTATTAAATTCTGTACAGGTGCGACTGACAGTTATGAATTCACTCGCAACAACCCAGCTAGAGACACCAGATGCTAACCGTAAATCATATCCAATTGGTCATGTAATTGTTGGGAGTCGAACAGATGGTAAAGGCTTATTACATTGGCATCAAATGCTCACAACATTAAGGAAGCAGGTTGCATTCTTTCATCCACTTCGGAGGAATGTTTGTAAAAAGAATGGACACCGGAGTTACGGTTTATTTGATAAAGTTTAATGTACTTAATGAAAAAAAAAAACAATTTTCTTTGTGATGATAAAGCAACAATATGATTGCTGCTTTATAGCTAGTGAGAGATGAAATTATATTACTGTTGTTTTAGTGAACATATGTCAAGTGATTGCACTCGTTCTGTATATCAAAAATGGATAAAGAGACTTTACTTTTATTGTTAATATGAATAAATTTATTCAAATATTATTCAACATTGCATTGAGGATAAGCAGCAGACAATGCATTATGTATAACATTAAGAATCATCATTTACATACATAAACGTACGTATCGTCAATACATTATCATTTATTTACTCTTAAGCTGTAACTTTTTATACATGTTTATATCCCATTCAATGAATCTCCATCTAATGTCAAGGAACTTTAAACCTTTATTGAGTTTCGTTCAGGGGATAACAATTGGATGAAGAAATGAAAATTTTCTTCAAGATTATTTCTTTTTCTTCTTTGGGCCGTTCACTTATTACGTTCGCATTTTAGGGGGGAGGGGGGGTTTGAAAAATTGTAACAAAATGTAACATAGGGAGGGGAAGGGGGGGTCAAGAAGTATGTAACGTTCGAACTGTCGTCTGTCTTAAAAAAAGTTCACGAAAAAAATTTTTTTACAAATTCATACCAAAAACATTTTTTTAAATTTTTCACCTTTTTAATGATAAAATAAATTATGAACGTACAGGGGGGGGTTATAAGTTGTAACATATTTTAACAAGGGGGGGGGGGGTGAAAAAAGTCGTTTTTTTGCGTAACGTAATAAGTGAATGGCCCCTTTCCAAAAGTTCCATTTATTGATTTCGATAAACATTTTGATGGTTGTAAAGATGTGAAATAAATCATGTGGGTGTATCAATGGGATGGATTTTTCAATGACCCTACAATTGTGACAATATCTAATTCACTCAGTAAATTGTTTTTCCTATTTGTTGGAAAAAGTTTGATATTAAGCTGCATTCTCCTTTATTTTATTGACAGACGACGATCCATTATATAAATGTAGTATTAAAGTTTTTAACGAATGGCAATATGGGACTCAAAATTGAAAAGTTTGAATGTTGTTGTCGCTATGAACATGATACGCTGGATTCGTTCTATAATTAGCCAATATTTCAAAAATGGAGCAAGTTTTTGTGTCCAAATTATTTTCAATCAGTGTCACTTTAAGAATATCAGCACCATCCAGAATCTACTATTTTTAATTATAATGTGATTAGACTCGGATCTATTTATAGAAATCAAACAAACAATTTACAAAACCTTTTGCTGACAGGTGCTTACATTGCAAACTTTCAAATCAGATTTGACATCACAGATGTGGATAACATAAATTCAAACCAGATGATAGAAGTTGAAAAGTTTTCGTATGAAAAGCTTCAAAACCATCAGAGAAATTGGTGACGAAAATTTTTCAAATGAAACTTTTATTACAATAGTTTGTGGCTATAGTCATAGAAAAATAGCCTAAATGGAAAATGTTTGTTTGAATTTGAAAGTGTATTTTGTTAAAGTATTGAACTTTTGTCGTAAGCTGTGTCAAGCTCTTTTTTGGTGCTGTTTGATTTTGTCATACACTGAAGCTATTGAACTTAAATCGGGAGTTTTTGATCTGAGTGGTTTCATAATGTGTGCAAAACAGAGCTTCAAATTGAGTCGATTCCAAAATCCAACAAAATACAGTCTGTTCTAGCTAGAATGAACATTTCTTAACCTTCAGAATTCGAAACAAAAGAAATTCAACATTTAACTGTAGTTCATCGCTGTGATGCATATTTATGGATGAAAGGTTTTTTAAGCTTTTCGCAAATAAAAGTTAATGCCAATATGAATATGAATATGAATCTAATGCTATTGTTTGTTAATAATTCCTGAGTAATTAATATTTCTGGGTCAAGTTCAAATTATATTTCCGCATTAACTGCCTGATTATATTTCTATGCCAACTCCAGGCATACATTTATACATTTTCACTTCTATTGTTGAAGCTGCAAAAACATCCAAAATATATATCAAAAAAGGAAAGAACTAAATTGAAACTAAAGGAACATAATTGGAAATGACATCTACAATCATCACATGACAATTGATTTTCCTTTATTCAATCAACAAAAATTGAGGAATCAATATGGAGAAAATATGTTGAATGTCTTTATGGGAACCCTCATCTATCGAAATTATATTATCCTTAAAAAAATATATATAAGACCGCAGAAAAGCTTTATATCAACACATAAAGACACATATACACACACATATATACAAGAATATTTAAGAAATCTTTTTCTATGTTCATCATCTATGATTATTAAATTAAATGGCTTAATACGATAAAAGGATTTAAACGATAAATACCTATTAAAAAGAGATAAGACATGTGTACACACGTTAAGGAATAAATAGTGACATATAAAAATAAATATAATAAAAATATTTTCGGTAATGTAAGAAAGTGCCGCTGTTTGTAAAGACGAGACGATGCGGAAAAAAAATGAAAAGTGGATTTATTGTGTTGCATACTTTCAAGTACGAGAAGCTTATCTTGAAAGCTCCGTACACCTGTTATCAAAATTAAATGAGCTTCATCTCTCATTATTTTCATCTTCCCCACTTACTAAACCAACAATTGTGTACTTAAATCATTTAATTTATGTTAAAGCTGTATTTTTTTTGCAAGTTACTTCCGAAAAAATGTTAAAAATGATGATGAGGAAAATTATTTTATGTGATTATAGAATGTGACAGATTAAGTTGAATTTTCTTCTTTTTTTTTGACGAGTAATGTCGCATGATGAATTTGTGAATTTGACTTGGATGGAATATGGTCTTTAAAGTCAGTCAAAATTTTCGTTAAAGAAATGAGTCAATTTTTCAGTGATTTTTGGTAGCTAGTATGTGGCTGGTAGGGTTGCTAAAGTAGCTAGTAGGATAACTGAGTATAACCGAGGATAACTGAGCTTTTAAGGGACGTAATTGGGAATCGTGGGCAAAGAACAAGGATTATCCTAGCTCGAGATCTAGTGTTGAAAATTCTGCTCAGTCCAAAAATATTCCAACAAACCATTCAAAAATGTTCTACAAAAATTGCCACTCACAAAAAAGGAAACCTAGTCAAGTTCACAAAGAGCTCATGAACTGTAAAAAGAATATGTCAAGAGAGAATCTCGGATAAAAATTTGTTTCAATATAATAAAAAAGAAAAAAATATTCTACATATTTATATTATACAGATACTGTCATATAAACACGTTATGTATAAAGAAACAAATGTAAAGAAAATGATCGCATTTAAAATGCTTCCAAAAATGTTTTGTGATAAAAATCGATAAACTTTTTTTTCATTTCATCTTTTTTTCTTCCTTTTTGTATACATCCAAAAAAATATATACAGCTAAGAGCTATTCTATTCCATCGTCAGAAGTTTATTTAACCGTACGGGGCAGGCTACCTATTAAGAAAAAAAGGTAAAAGAGGACAATAAAAAAAAAGTACACAGAAATATTTTCATAATAAACTTTTTCTTTTTCCTAATATTTTGTTAATATTCTCAATACTTAATCTCTTTGCCATACGTCTAGTCATATATATCCTCCACTTATAAGTGAAATTATGCAGTAACATTTCACCCTCATATCTATGTCAAATATATAGTAAAAATATCGTACAAATAGGGATGGAAGTTTCTGGGGTCAAATATTTGTTTATAGATTTACATAAATTATTTTTTATTTCTCTAAATATATGAAGCGAAAAAAACCAGCTTCTATGAAACTAGCAGAGCTTTTGCTGATTATATTTGATCAAAGACTAATTTCTTTTAATTTAATTTAAGATGCTTGAACGCCATTATTTTAATTAAATCCTAGCGAACTTGCCGACAGAGCTTTATGTAAATTAAACTTAATTAGACTACATTGATGGTTTAAGGTTTGTAATGAGCTTTTATACGAAATTAAATCAAAGTTAATGAGATTAATGTTAGAAGTGGATTCATGCTGTGAATGAATGAGTTGAATTCAGAAAGTTTTTTTGACTTTTTTAAAAGCTCCTAAATTGATTGTCTCATTTTTTACTTTCTGTGGTGTGCTGACAATCGTTTCCGATCAATATCGTAATCAATCAAGAATTGGCACGAGGCTTTTACGACTGCATAACATCCATCCCTCTTGTTCGATTATAAAGTGTCAAACTATCTGCTCTTTCCATTTCATGAACTATCTATATACTTCCTTGAAAACTTTCATGTATCTACCTTTGCCTCGACTTGCATTAGGAGTTTTAATAGAAGAAAAAAGTAACTTTTTATACTTTTCTATCCTACAATATAAACACTAATGCATCAATAGTATGAGATGAAAATGAAACATTTCCGATTTTTTAATTACAAAGTTTCAAGTTATGACTTTCATCTCTAATAAATATAAAATAGATAAAAGAAGAAATATCTCAAAAAAATGATGATAAAATTAATAAAAAAAAAATATGTATATCACATTGTATGAAGGTTGTTGTTGAAAAATAGATAAAGAAAAGATTGAAAATGTACTATTGATATAGACAAATAAATTGAAAAAATATGATAATATTTTCATTATTTTGAAATTCCAAAAATTCTTATTTTTTACAGGAAGAAGCTTTTGATATTTTGCTGTTATTGTTTAATAAAATTCATTGTTGTGACAAATGTTTTTATGAAAAGGTCGAAAGATTTTCTAAAAAGAAATGGCAATCATCTGATAGAAGATTTTCATCGTTTGTCTGTTCTTCATTTTTATATTTTTTACAGGATACAATCAAAACAGAACGCTATCTTTACTTTAAATAACTGATTTTCAGCCAATTTGTTTCTAATAATTAAATTAAAGTTTTTCTTGTTTTTCCAATGTTTACTACACTCGAAAACTTAAATTTGATGACAATAAATAAAAAGGGTGTGAAACTATGTAAAAATTCAAATTGAATTCAACCGTTAAAAAATTCTCAATGCTTAAAATTGTCAAAAATGTCACACGTGCTGGATGTAGGCACAGTCTAGTAAAAGTTGTTTTTAATATTCTCTTGTGGTACATTTCATGAAACATTTTATGTTAACGGTATCATTAATAAATATTAAAGAGAGGAAAATTACATCAAACAGGTTTTTGGTAAACGAAAATTGTTCAAAGGAATTTCAACAAGCAAAATTTGATAAAAGCAGCAAAACAGTCTTCTGAAATTATAGCTGAATTTAATTGAATTTGTATTTTGGTCGAGTTTTCAGAATCAGATATTTTGCAATCGCAGCATGCCA